TTGGGGCATACACATATCATATAATTTATCATATCATAACTTTGGGGTCAGTAAGATGTTTTAATGTGTTTGAAAGAGGTCTCTTATGCTCACCAAAGCAGAATTTATATATAATGATATATACATTTATGTACATTTATGCATGTTTACATTATATATATAATTTTCAGCATTTTCAGAATTTTCGGCAGCCATTACTCCAGTCTTCAGTGTTACATGCTCCTTCAAAAATCAATCTGATATGCTGATTTGGTACTAAAGAAACATTCTTATTTTTATTAATGTTGAAAACAGTTGTGCTGCTTAATTCTGTCATAGAAAGTTCAAAAGAACAGCATTTACTTAAAATATATTTTTAACAATATAAAAGTCTTTACTGTCACTTTTAAACAATATGTTCTTGCTGAATAAAAGTATTAATGTAAAAATCTCACCGACCCCACATTTTGTGTATTCTTGACATGCTTTGTCAGATTCACTAAATTATTGACGGCACATACTTGGGATTGAGTATAGTGCTATTTTAAATGGTTTGTTATTGTCGTAATGCCACTAATAACCTTTCACAAACTCGATTTGCACTTTAAGCACAATAACCCCATTGTTCTATGGTTCTATTCAGCTAAGGGCCATTGACATTGATTTGAGATGCGACTGAATGTGAACTGAATTGATTCAGGATATGAACTGGATTAGGGGGAAATCATTGTCATCATCCAAACAATCAGCCTGTAATAGGACAGGAAAGGATGTCATTGATCCTAGTTCCTAGAAATGTGAATTCAATGAAAACAGCAGAGCTGGAGTGTGACAGTTGCCGTGTTCTGATTGGTTCCAGGTGGACCGGACAGAGGTGATTCGCAGCAGCATCAGTCCGGTTTTCTCCAAAGTCTTCACCGTGGACTACTATTTTGAGGAAGTGCAGCGCCTCCGTTTTGAGCTTCATGACATCAGTAGCAACCATAATGGACTCAAAGAGGCTGACTTCCTGGGCGCCATGGAGTGCACACTCGGACAGGTGACTGCGAGGGATTGCAGAGTGCACACTTAACGGAAACGCAGTAGGGAAGATGAAAGCTAGTGAATGGAATGAGTGCGTGAGAGAGAGGATGAGTACATGAGAGGGATTGTGTGGATTCAAAAGGGTAGCAGAGAGCTCACTGGAGCAGGAAGGTGCCTGGTGGGCAGAGGGACTATTACTTCAAACTCTTTTTATCTAGTCTATGATAAAACAAGATTACAACCAGTGGTATATAAAGGAACATAAGAGGGTAAAGAGGACTTGAGGGAAGGAGAGGGTGAGGACCTGAAGGATTTGGATGCTAACAACAGACACTTATTTTGTTTCAGGCTGTTAAACGGATAAGTAGTAAGTGGTGAGAACTAACTACGAAAATTGTCAATTTTCATAGTTAGTTCTCACCACTTACAATTGACAAGTAGTGTATATTATGTGGTTTGAAAATGCTTAGTTTTGTGAGTTGAAAATGCTAGATAAGTACATTTTGGAAGGATTTTGTTTTCAGTGCTTCTTGTTGGTTAATTGGATAAAAATATCCAATTTAATATTACCATCTATAATATGTGGACGTGTAAATATAGCCTTGTTGGAGAATGTGGTGCGCCTTGTAGCGTTTAGCTTTGGCTTAGCTTATTAACTCACTTGAAATGATAGAAAAAAAATTGTTTTGATGCTGTAAAGTTGTCACATGGTTTATAAGATCTGTAGGTTCGTTCATCATTGAAGTTATCAATAATTTGTGGAAAAACCTTCTGCCTCCTGGTGGATTATCCATGATCTTCATGAAGTAGAATGACTTTTAATGTCATTTCTAATATGTCTGCCTCCTTGTTGCAACACATATCGTGTTGCTGCCAAATTAATTTAATATATTAAATATTAATTTATTAAAATAAATATTTTTAATTTAACTTTGTTTCATCTTTTGTTGGCATTAAAATTTTAAAACCGTTTTTGACTACCACAAAGATTATGTTAAAAATCATTTCATTGTGATCCATAAATTACCATAGGTCGGATACCAAATATGACTTTTTAAAAAGAACACAAATTTGTCTAAAGCTTCCAATAAACTAGAACAAGAATATTTCATATTATATTAAAAACTTTATTTTTTTAACTATTATTTAATTTACCATTTTATATGAATTTTGTCAGATTACACTAAAAGAAAAAAATCATTAGAAAAATGAAAGACGTACTAGTAATTTAACATTATTCATTAAATTTATGAATATTTCCTTTAACCCTAAAACACAACACAATGCGTAATTCAACATAAAGGTAAAACACCTGTGAAAAATCAGGAGAATATGGAAAATTCCTTCATATTTAGATTTGTTAGGGTTTACAAGTCTGGTTTGCAGTCTCTATGCATGTATCTGTTTGCCTCATGTCCTCTCCTCTTCCTTCATAGATTGTATCACAGAGAAAACTGTCCAAAGCTTTATTGAAGCAAGGAAACACAGCTGGCAAATCATCGATCACAGTAAGAATAGACGTCTCACCCCCAATGAATTCACACTGCAAGTTTATGCTCTTTTGTCATAACCTGAGCGATGACTTCTTGGAAACCACAGGTCACAGCTGAAGAGCTGTCTGGGAATGATGATTACGTGGAGCTTGCCTTCAGTGCCAAGAAACTGGATGACAAGGTGTGACATCTGGATAACTGCTCAACAGGCACTTTGCAACAATATTAAGACAAACAATAACAAACTGATCTTTATCTGTTCTCCTTACTGTTTTATTACTCTGGTTTATGAATAGACAAAATTCAAATGGAGCAACGCATCATCTACTACTTTATTAAAATATACTGCTATTTTTAATTTTTCATTAAAAAATTAGGACAACTTTTAGTCTAAATACACAGTGTACCATTTAGAAAAACAAGAAACGATGTGCATTCAGATACAGTCTCTAAATGAGAGAAAGTCAGGATGCAATAATAATGTATGTATAGTGTATGAATCTATCAAAAATTAATTAATGCTCAAGTGTGTCATTTCTGCACCGCTAGCGCCACCAAATGAAAATGCTTTTCAAAAGAGCTTCCAGAACACTTATGTTTGTAGATGTTGTATTTACTTTACAAACGAGAATCAGTTTGATTCTTTGTTTAGGACTTTTTTAGCAAGTCGGATCCATTTCTGGAAATCTTCAGAGTGAATGATGATGGCACAGCATCACTGGTGCACAGAACAGAGGTGAGTTTGATAGATGCACACAAATGCATATGAAATACATATGGAAGAAATATAATGTACACGTATCAACTGGTAATTTTTCTGTTTATAGACCATTATGAACAATCTGAGTCCTGTCTGGAAATCATTCAAAGTTTCTTTAAACACACTCTGCAGTGGAGACCATGAGCGGGAGTTAAAGGTATGACAGATATTTTGAATATATCCTTTATTCATTTATTCATTTATCAAAAACCTAACCATTTGCGTACTCTTATGATAACTAGAGAAATATTTCTGACATAAAACAGTGAATCAATCAGGTATACTGAAGCAATGTGATCACACTCCATATGAGGCTTTTATGTCAGCGTAGGTTTTTTTTTTTTTTTTTTTTTTTATTCTGGTCTCAGCGTGACCATTTGGTCACATTAGATTAGAATCATCTTGGCAGATTTATGTAATGGCAGTCCTATCCATTCTGCCTCACCATTGCAGCTGACATCTTTCATAGTGAGCTAATTACTGAGCGGGTAAATGGAGCCCGGCTGTTTGGAGTGTCCTGACAGTTTCCTGAGAGGAACAGACACGGTGGAACCAACAACAGAAATTGATGTTACTGCCCTTTAGTCCATTCAAGTCCACACAGTCCTCCTGGGTTGGAGAACTTTCTGTCTTTGGGTCCAGTTGTAAAAAAGAACACTAATAAGACTCTACGGAGAGCAAGAAGTCCTGTTATCTGAAAGATACGACAGATTTGGGATAAGAAAGTTAGATTAGACTCAAAGTATCATTCCGTTGACTTCCCATACTGTATGTGCTGTGGCATTCAAGTCCTTTTTAATATTCTGTATTCTTTTTAATATTCTGTATTTTCGTTTCTGTGTTTAACATAGCAAATTGAAACTGTTTTATTGACTGCTGTTCAAAAGTTTGAGGTCAGTGAGATTTCTTTTTTTTTTTTTGAAAGAAAATTCTACTCAGCAAAAATTCATTACATTTATCAAAACAAAAGTGACCGTACATTTTTTTTTTTACATTGTTACATATTCTATTTCAAATAAATGCTATTCTTTTCAACATTCTGTTCATCAAAGAATCCTGAAAAGAATGAATCGCGTTTCCACAAAAATGTGAATATATTAATAATAATAGGAAATGTTTTATGGCATATTATAAAGAATAATGGCTGCTGAAAATTCAGCTTTGCCATCACAGGAATAAATTTCATTTTAAAATATATCAAAATAGAAAACGGATATTTTAAAATGCAAAAAAAAAAAAATATCACAATAAAGTTTTTCACAGTTTTTACTGTATTTGTCATCAAAAATAAATGTAGACTTGATGAGCATAAAAGACTAAAAAGATTAAACATTTAAAAATCTATAACTAACCCTAAACGTTTTAATGGAAGCATACTTGTGAGATTACATATATATTTATTTAACAATCTGATTTAATATTAGTTTACAATTTATATGAATTTATATAATACATAAAGTATTAAGAAAACACAAAGTTACTGAACATTTTTGCTCAGAAAGTTCTGTAATGGATGTTTTCAAAAACGTTTGACCAGGAATAATCTCTTCTTTTTTTTTTACCAAATATAGCAATGAAATGAAAAAGCTTATATAATGTTTATTATAATGATGTGAGTCTGTTGTCAGATGTTGTTTTTTCATTGCTACTATATGTTAATACTTTTTATTTCTTTTAAAATACATTGATATTGCCATGAAAATAGCAATAAATGCTGGTATGGCAATAAAAACAAGCAAAGACAGATTATTACGATACATTGCAGTTGTTCAGTAAAAACTGTGCAGCATTGAAATCAGATCTATTCCATTTAATAATTTACCTGTAGTGTGTGTGTGTGTGTGTGCGCGCGTTTTTGTGACAAATGAGGACATACATTTGTATAATGACAAGGGTATGACATAGGTATTGCAAGGAGAAGGTGACTTTTCAGGACATTACCCCATGTCCCCACTTTTCAAAACGCATATAAATCACACAGAATGGAGTGTATTGAAAATCTGAAATAGCACGAAGTTTCCTGTGAGGGGTAGGTTTAGGGTTAGGGTTGGTGTAGGGCAATAGCACATACAGTTTGTACAGTATAAAAACCATTACGCCTGTGGAATGTCCCCACTTTTCACAAAAACAAACCTGTGTGTGTGTGTGTGTGTGTGTGTGTGTGTGTTTGTAGTATCACCCTTTAACTACTTTTTAATAGCATGAAGTTTGTATGTGTGTGTGTTTGCTTATTTATTCATGAAAGTTCCTAAAATTGTATTACTTTCCTTCTCTTCTCTTTAATCTCTCTCTCTCTGTCACACACACACACACACACACACACATTCAGATCTCAGCAATGCAGGTGTACGGTCCTCATTGGTATGCCAATGCAGAAGCGGGGATAGGAGAGCTGTATCGTAATAATCTGTCTTTAAAGATGCTTCTCTTTGTATTCTCATAACGGCGTAGAGTTTAGATGAGATTTAGTCATAGCACTACACTGAGATTCTGCACAAAAGCTGTATGAAAGAAAAGCCTTTTTGAAACGTTCACATACTGTGCAGGTGACATTTCAGAGAAAGTGAAAGATACGGGGCAAGAAAGAGACAAAGAGAGCAAAATTAAGAGCTGATGTCTCAATATGTTTAGTTGAGAGCTGAATCCCTTGATCAGCAGCTCCATGCTGGCACTTTACGTTGCTGCTCTGAGCTTTACTTGAAAATAACCACCACTTACAGCAAATTAACTAATGCTTTAAATGCTTGGAAACAAGCCACTTTGAATTAAGCCTTTGGCAATTATACTAAGTGGCTGAATGAGCAGTTGTGCAACATGTTCATTTAAAGCTGGTTAAATGACATTTTCAATCTAAAATTCTCAAACATTGTTGATTTGAATCCAAATATTTATAGGTGATGTTGGACAGTCAAGGACATTTATAGTCAGACAGATGGGAAAACAGTTATTTTAGGTGACATGTCCCTGAATAAACATGAACTGGTTTGTTTAATATTCATGACTTCTTTACACTCAACGCACTACAGACAGCAATGTCTCCGCAGTGAAAACACACACTGAATTCAGATTCACAGAGTTATAGAGCCAATGCAGTTAAGTTTTATTCATGTTGTATAAGACTAGGCAGTTAAACCTTCTTGTTATGTTGAGAGCTCACAATCACTCTGCTGTTTTGCTGGGTTAAATTTCTCCATTCTTTCATGCATATCTGAGCCCCATCTGTTGTAAAGCATGATACAATTGCATAAACCCATTTATGCAAATTATGTCATAACATTTTTCTAGAAGAAAAGAGTTATGGAAAGTACAGTTGTGAGGTAACTTACAGTAAATCGCGGTAAACAATGTGTTTATGCAGATTTTGATATGTACATTTATCATTTAAGCTCTTTATGAAATCTTTGACAAATATTGATGTAACTGGCTCAAAGACAACAAAAATTGTGCAATAATAATTTAAAATCTAGTTAGGAAAACTTTGTGTGCAGTGTGCATCTACATGCAGTTTCCTCACTATATATGTTGTTAAGAGTGGTTCTGAACTGGGAACCATTACTGTGATGTATAGTTTTGTTTTACTTTACTCATTGTTCATATAATTAAAGATACATATTCACAACATAGCTCTGTTATTAGAGTCAATTAATAATATATTCTAAAAAACATTAAAAATGTTTACAAAATGTTTTATTTCAGGAGCCTTTATTTTTGTTTTGTTTTGTTTGTGTGTCTGAAGCCAGGGTAAAAGAAATGCGCTCTTATCTCTTCTTCATCCATCTTTTGGGGATGTTTCCCAACTTTATGCGGAGTAGAGGAGCAGGTGTGAGTTTTGCATGTTGAGTTATTGTTGGTTCTCACTTCTTTAGCTGAAAAGTCAACCACAGCATCTCTGTATTAATATTTTAAATGGCCTTCAAATTTTGATTACCACCCGCTTATGTCTCAGCATCAATGATTCATTAACAGCAATGCTACAGTGTGCTGTCTTCCTGCCATTCCTGCCACACACCCACATTCACAATGACACATATACACACGCTCCAGCGTACCAACGAGAGTGTTAAATCTTTAAATCAACAACATGACACAAGGTATTAAAACTGAAGAAGTGTTACGATAACAAGATGACCTGCTGCTGTTTATCTTTACATTTGTATGACTAGTAAGTGCTTTCACAATCCTTTATTACTTCTTGAAACTTTAGACTCCTCAGCTTGTTCCAGATTCAGCACCAACTAGATAAAAGATCTTCTAAATGAACTGTGACATTTCAGTCTCATTGTAGCAAGAAAAGCTGATGCTGTTTTTATTTTGCCTGTACTTGTGGAAGTTATTAATTATTTCAGCTCTTGGTGTTTAGACACACTGTTTACTTTGTGTGCATTTTTACGTACAATCGATCATTTCTGAGACACTGCTATTATTGCTTATGGAACATTAAAACAAGACTTGGATTAAAACAAATGTTTGCGTACGAGTTGTGGAGGTTAAAGAAATAGTTCATCCAAAAATGAAAATTCTGTCATCATTT